TTACCTTCTATAATAACGCAGAGCAGCTAATTTATCCACATGCTGTATAATCAGATAAACAATTTCAGCTGCACTATGAAAACCTGTAGGCAAGGGAGAAATTTATCCTCCCCCCCTCCTTTATTGATTTTTCTGCCTATACATTCATATAATTGCTAACAATAGAGGTCATGCTTTCTTCCATCCTCTTCTTCAATTACCTCAAAGCAAGACTCTCTTTTCAGTTGTGGAAATATTAGCAGTTTTTACAGTTGTAGGACAAAGAACTGAGACATTTTCAAAGAGTTGCTTGGGGGAATAGGAAGGGAAAAAAAAAAAAAAAAAGCTTTGTAAGATTCTATTGTAAGTAAAGCGGAGTGAATGACAACTTTCAAAGCTACCACAATCATTTACTAATGTGCTGCTATACCAAATAAGTCTAATTTTTTTTGACAGCACCAAATTAGATTTATTGCAGAAACTGCTGCATAAATAGCATATGGCTATGTTATACCACCTATTTCAAATCCCTGTAATGTTTCTTCCCCTCCCTGCTCACAATGAATAATTGAGCCAAGCTATAAACCTTCTGCAGACGAGAGATACAGAAGTTCAAAAAGCAGGTGCAGATGTAGATTTCTTTGTTGGAATGGTCTAAAAAAGTATCACATATCCTGATCAAAACGGGCAGTAATAGGTCAGGTCTCCCTCGCTGCACTTCAGGATTTTATTTCCCTCTTTCCTTGATAAAATTTTGTTGTCATTTCTCTTTCAAGCTGACAGTCATCAACACTGGGCATAACCTCGTAATCCTCTCGCACATGACTACCTCTTACTTGCACAAGAAATCCTATTGATCTTTGCTTCTTACATGAGTAAAATTATTCATGTGACTTGAGATCAGAAGGCTCGGACCTCCATTCATGCCTCACAAGCTCTCATTTATGAAAAGGGATGTGCCTCCTCTGAACAAAAATAAAACACTAGAAAACTGGTTTCATTCATCGGAGGGGCCCAACCCTGTGGGAAGGTGCCGACCTACAGATCTCTCCCCTTTCAACAGGGCAAAGTTTTCTTATCGCGTTGCTGGGTCGGCCCCCAGACCCACGTGCTTTTGTATTTCTGTCAGTCACCACATTCTGTGTTCACTGGGCTGTTTGGCAAAATACGGAACCACGCACCCTTATCACGCGACAGGATTGAGAGCAAAGACGGGTGTTTTTGAGGTAGCAGAGAGCAGGACACGCCTGGGCAGGACGTGCTCAAAGCCCGGCAGGCCACCGAGGCAGCCCCGCGGTCCCGCTCCCCTCAGCCGGGGCCAGGCCCACCGCACGCCCCCCAAGTTTGTGCGGCTGCCTCGTGGAGAAAGACATTGCAAGGTCTTCTCTCCGGCCGACGGGCACACCACTGCACACATCGTGGAAGGCTGCGGCTACCCCGCCGCTTGCCTCTCGGTGGTCAGTCCTCCCAGCTGCCCTATCCGTTACTGTCTGATTAGCTCTGCGAAGGAGCCCCTCCCCGGCCAGCTTTCCCCGCCATCTGTTCCACACGCGATGGCTGCCGCCCAGCAGCCTCGCGCTGCCCTCCTACCTGGCACCCGGCTCCCGGCCTTACCCCAAAGTGCTAACACAGGTTCTCGCTGCTGGCAGAGTCAGGATTTCATTACTACTACTTTGACAAGTGCAGGGTTGTTTGTAATTTCTCTTTTATCCTGATTTTGATTGTACAACCACCTCCCACTGATTCAGTTTGCTTCAGTTTTGTTGCTCACAGATTTTACTCTCCACATTAATCTCCCTCTGGCATGTTACTGCATCTGTTCCCTTTTTTATTATTAATTTTCAAATTCCCACCATTTTTGACAAAAAGGAGGTAATCTACACTCTGCTTCTGCCCATTTCATTTTCTTTAATTTGGAAGATAAGTATGAAAGCGTGCCAAAGAAGTTAATTCTCCGTTAACAGTTTATTTTCTGGCATCCCGATGCCTTTGTATATGAAAAAAAGATAGAAATAAATGTTGACTGAAGCACAACAACATAGTTGCAAACGTCCCTAAATGTAATGAAAAGTAAACACATGAAGCAGAATGTAAAAAGTTTATTAGTTACCAGAGTTGTTTCATGTTATCACTCCTCCCTGCACTTTAAAATAATAGTTTTGTACAAGATTAACAGAATATAAAAAAAACCTAGAAATAAAACACCTCTCACACCTCATTTCTTCTTTTCCCCCCTCCCCTCCTTCTCTCCCCAATTTAAGTGCAATTGGTCCTTTCATCAGTCAGTCTATCTGGGAACATAAAACATATCTCAGGCATTTAATATTAGTAACAGAATGCCTTCAAATGTTACCTCCTTTCCAGCATAGACTTCTTCTGACATACTAAGATTGCTGGAAAAAGCATGACAGTAAGTATGCTGCTAAGTAACAGATACTACTAAAAAAAAAAAAAAAAAAAAAAAGATAATACTAAGTACCGTGCAACTCCCTAGAAGGCTGTAGTATAACCATCTTCTACAAATCAAGAAGTTAGTTTATGTTTTGTAACTTAATAGTATAGCTTAAATAGGGAAATTGATGTATGAAGCATGCTGCAATTCTAATGAGGAATGCTGATGGTGACATACAGCTCAACACTAAAGCTTCAGTGATTAAATAATGCCACAGGAACCCGGAGGTGGAATTATAGGTTTGTGCACTTTATTTATTACACATGTAATACAAATTAACCCTAATGGAGTCGTTGAAACTAGCAAGGACTGATGCACACTAGGAAGGCTATAGCACTGCTAAAACCCACTCCCCAAATGCCACTTTCTTTGATTTGCTGCTTTCTACAGATCATGTCATTTTCAAAATTAAGGGAGAAAAGAAATGTCACATAATGGGAAAACAAAAATAAAAATCAAGAACTACAACATTCACTGTCCTGACTATAATATAAACTTTCATCCTTCAAGAGAGTGACACAGGAGTTCAGGGAAGCTTGGTGGGTCACCTATACCTGGGAGCATGGGTTCTTCTGCTGTTTAATAATTCTTCCCCATCTACAAGTTGACATTCAGTACTGCTTGTAATGTTTTATATAAGCAAACAAGCATAGTAAAAAAATTAAATTAAATTAAATTAAATCTGCTTCAATTCCATTAAATTACATCTAGCAAATTTAAGTGGCATTTCAGCTGAATGTATCTTGAGCCACCTACTTATGTCCGTGCCTGAGAAAATGCAAGATGGCATAGAAAAAGTTCAATTTTGAAATTCAGTGATTCCCTCACTTCTTTAGATTTATTTGTTATATGCCAAAATTAACTGTTTTGGCATATGCAAACAGGAACTACATCTGACTGCAACTCGAACAAATAATAGCTTCAGATTTGTTTTGTAACAAAAAGAAGAAAGATTTTTAATGACACTTCCATTATGCAAGAATAGTAAAAAAAATTATTAAATTAGATTACATGCTAAAATTGGGCAAGCTGTTAACATCTCGCATCTTTAATGTGATCTTTTCCACTAGCATACTGACACTATTATTCTCTCATGAACTAAGAACATCGATCTGTATGTTTTCTACTCTTAAAAAGTGGATTCAGATAAGCTTCATTAGCAAGACCCAACCTTGCCAGAAGTAATGGCAATTAACATTGACTTCAAAAGTAATTTAGTAAGATTCTCCTACTAAAGTAACTCTAATAGAAAAAGCCACAAAGCTGAAAATAAGGCAAAAAAATAAATACTTTAAACAAACATGGTCAGCATCATAGCATGGCGACGTCTGCAAAGTTACATGACTGACAATCGAAACTACGCACCAAAAGTTCTGTATTTTCCCAGTCATTTGAAGACATATGAATTAGAATTACTAACTAGATTCAATAGCAGGAAATGCATGTTAATAGCAAGGATTTCTAAGCAACATATTGCTCCAGGAAGAAAGGTGACAGGAAAAGGCAAATTTAATCTCTGTGGCAATGGTTTAGAATAGCTAATTGTAACCTTTTTCTTGATTTTTAACAAGTACATTTTGTTAACTTAGAAGCTGTTTAGCTGGTAATCAATCAACGCTGTCTGAAAACTAGGATGCAGCAAAAGAAGTGGGACTCCTGGAGAAGAGTGCAGTTCTGCGGAGCACTTTCTTTTTCTCATTAGGATATAGACTGCATGCTCTTTCTTATGGAATCCATTAATGTAATATTTATCATTTCATTTTCATACATTAAAATCCAAAGTTCTCATATTCATTTTATTATTCTATTTATTTACAATATCCAAACTTATAATCAGTGGACTAGTAACTTTTCTCCTTAGTAATATACTAATTCATTTAAAACAAATCATTCTTTCTGTAGCTCCTCAGCTGCCTCTATTTTTTGCCAGAACAACCCAGACAGGTCATGTAAGGCAACAGAAAGACTATCCACAACCGTGTAACAGCAGTACAGGCTGCCCTCAAGTCCAGCGTTGTGAGAAGACTTGGAGTGGACCAGCTGGCCCTCTCCTGAAAAGAGGAAAATCAGCAAGATGAGGCCAAGGCCAGAATACCCGAGAGATGCACTAAATCAGTGCAATTTCTGCAGCAACCTCCCACAGGCAGGACTCTAGAGCTTAAAATCTGTTTTCCTTGGCAAGTGCCACAGTGAATGATTCTATAACCCCCATAGGATTGCTATTACCACTACCCTTCGAGTGAGTATTTTTCACTGACACAGCTGCCATTTGAGGTGAAGGGAAAAAAGGATGAAAGAAGGCAGACCGTAAGCCAATAAAGTTCATGTGCAACAACTATGGATGTACCAATCCATTAAAAACACACCAAGTTCAAAATGCAAAACTAATGCCACTAGAAAAATGTAACTTTTATACCTTCTTTAACACAGAAAACCTGTTCTGGCAGGAAGCGATCTGAGAGGAAGAAAAAGAGTACAGGCTAAGGAAAAGTTTCATTTCAGTAGAGGATCTCTTACTCTGCGACTCAGGAAAAACAGACAACTATGTGAGAACATCTCTAGCTCTTCCCTACCAGTCTAAGTACATGGGGACAACAGATAACAGTTCAGCAGCAACGAATCTCTCATCTCTTTTTTTCCCCCCTTCTTCACCCATGACAGCAATGTCACCTAATGTATTCCTAGAAAGCAGACAGACGCTCAAAGACAAGGAGGACACAAAAACCTACAGAGAATAAAGTATTACAGAATTTGGGGAATATCAAGGAGAAAGATTTGAACCTATTTCCCATGCTTCAATGTATAAATTTTTCTGACAATTAGATGTCAGCATAGAAAACATTTCACTACTTATAAGCATACTTATAAACAGAGGCCATAACAGGAACACAAAGTATAAAAAAATAAAATAAAGATTAGGACATTGCAGAAGAGCGGCTCCACTAGATCAGACAAAGAAGCCGTGGCAGTTCAGCATCTGTCTCAAAAAGTAGATGTCTGTGAAATTCTTTGCAAACAGGGCCAGCACAGAGTATTACTTGCCCAAAGTACTGTTCCCAGCCTCCAGTGATTTGCATCTCACAAAATTCCCAAGCTAGAGACCATTGATTGAAAAGCTACCTGAGTCATCTGTACGTTAGGTATCCAGCCTCAAGTACTTTGCCATCTAAAAGTAAGCAAGAGTCCCCATTTTAACAAGTTGGGTATTTTCACAGGAAAAAAAAATAAAAAAATTGGCTAGTCAGATTTCCTCCAAGGTATCCAGAGTTCTATGGCATATAATCAGCTTTTTGCTAAAAGGAGCGTGGTAAGCCATTTGGTTAACTATCACAACAAATCATTATTAATAAAGTTCTGCTAAATCCAAACTTTAGATATCTTAACAACTCACCCAAAACTTTTTTCAAGTTCATTAACCTCTAGCATATTTTTTCTCTAAATACAGGCTGTTAGAGTGGTACTTTCTTCCATCTGTTAAACAACCGTGCTCTGAATTACACAGAAATGTAGTTGAATAAAAAAGCAATTCATTGAATTTAATAGTTTAGGCGAGGCTCTATTTTATTTCCAGTTACTCAATGGCAGAATTCTCACAAACTCCAAAGAGTAAAAGACTTGAATAAACCTGCAGAATTCTCTTAAGTGATAAAAATCTGTGAGTTTTCCCCTCTGACACGTAAAATTGGAACCAACTTAACTTTTTTTCCTTAACAACTGAGTAAAAGCTGCCAGATTTGTTTCTGGATGTTCACTCTTGGGGAAAGCAGGGGGATGGAACAAAACAAAACCCACATACACAACCAAAACCCTGTAGTCAGACAATAGCATTTTCTGTGGTAATAGGAAAAATTGCTGCTGTTACCAAAACTCGAGCTGCAATGAATAACTGTCTTGTTAACCTTTTGGTGTTTTCTAGAAATGTGTAATGAATGGTACAGCAAGTGGCTTTGGGAGCTATATCCAAGGATGGAATAAGCTCAGTCCCTTCTCGTATTGTGTTTGCATTGTACCACATCTCCACTGAGCAAGTGACTTAAACACTCTCCTCACATACTTGAGATTACCTCCTATTCACAGACAGTATTACCTTTTGATTGTTTAATCTTCAATGAAGCTTAATAGGATTATGCTCATTTATATGTTCCTGGTTATTCTGCTACAGAAACTTCAGGTTACTGATCTGAGAACTGCTATGTTTAAAGGTGCTATTGTACACTACAGTCTCAAACAGCATTTAAAAAGTCTTTGTCCTATGAAACATAGCAACAACAAAACGAATGTAGCTGCATTCTCTGCTGCTCTTCTTCCTGCCCAAAAGCATGTTACCTCATCACTGGAGCTGAACATTGCTTTTTCTTCACACTAGTAATTCACTCCCATTTATTACAGATCATAACTCACTTTGTAGTTCATAATTCACTTATTTAAATCTCCACTTTTAACATGACTGAGGGCTGTCCATGCAGTTGATGAGTGCAAGTATCTATAACAACTGTGGGGAAGCCTGTGGCAAAAAATTAGCAGAATGAAATTGGTACTACAGCATGTAATAGGATAAGGGGTACCTGGTGAGGTGCAGTTGGTGCTCAGATTTACTCAGCAGCTCTGTCAGTTTTAGGCACTCCTCTCTGGCTCCTGTCACATCCTGCTGGGCTTGTTCCAAACGCTGTTTGTTTCCATTCAGCTCTAATCCCAGTTTTTCTATTGTCTTAGAAAATTGTAGAACCAAAGAAGAAGCCATTTAAGAAATGCACAGAGATACATTTTAAGACTATAAATCTTACTGTGATTAAAGCTCCTGAAAAATAATGCACACAAAAGTACTTTGTTGATAAAAACTGCAAAACAGGCAAATTAAAGTACATGAAATTACATTTTTATGACAGCCAAAATGCATATAATATTTAAATACATAATCAAATTGCCTTCATATGGCTTAAGAGATCCATACATTCAATCATTTTCTGATTTCCTCATGTGAAGGCTTCCATATTTGTGTCCCAAAGTCACTGTATTAGAAAGCCAGAAGGCAGCAGAACAGTGGCAACCTTGAGAAGCTGCTGAGCGTAGGATAGCTCTTGTGGTCATTCACTTTACTTATCGATTACATAAACAATGACATGTGGGAGTTTAGCTTTGTCATATTCACACAACACTATGCAAGAGAATAAAGGTAATTTTGCCATTTCACCGTTCTTGAAAACAATTTATAACTGAATCCAAAACATACCAGCTGCTGTTAATCCTGTCAGTTTTATATCATTACTCCTTACTTGTCAACTACACCAAGTAAGTAAATCTAACTTAGTTGATGAGTCTATTAATTTATTTTACAAATAATGATAAGCCAACTTGCGTGACCAGCATCTTTGATTCCAGTGAAACATAACTGACTTACTACTTCTAACTGAATCATATTGTCAACGATTTAAACATTTTTCACAAATATTCTCAGAAGGAGTACATTTTGCTCTAAGTCCCTATACAACATACAAGTGCCTGTAAAATACATCTGTACCATAATACTATACTTTGTGCTAAGGATGCTTTTAAGGAGGCCAGTGTAGTACAGAATAAGCTAACAATGCAATTTTATCATGCAGTAACTATTCTGCACTAACTCCTCTACATAAATATTTATTCATCATTGAGGCTGGAGGGAACTTGCATGTTTTTCACTCAACTAAACTGTGAAAGGTCATTTGTAGTACAGAATAAAATTGTCCAGATAAGGAGTTAGTGCTGAATAGTTATTATACTTTAAATTCATACTATAAATTATTTTGTGATAGCTTCCTCATGTAGACAAGCCTCAATATCTTCTTCAGTTAATGAAATTATTCATTCAAATATCATACAAGAACAAAGGAACGTAATTCAGTCCCAATATTTGCACTTGAAGCACCTTCAAAATAATGTTGTCTCCTTTCCTCCCATGAAAATATTAACCAAACCACTTACAGTAAGTCATGATGTCACAAACACAATCTCTTAATCCAGAAAAAGGTTTCATAATGTTGTTTTTTAAATTTATTTTTAATTTTGCTAAATACTTAACTGTACACTTTTTTCTCCTAAGAGCACTCAACAAAAGTTCATGAAGGAAATTTTGATTAGAATTTGAATGTCACCTTGCTTTATCAAATAGACCACCTATCAAATTAAATCAGTAATTCCAAGTTTGAATATAAAGACAGTGAAACTATCTGCAAAATCGCTAGTATCCTTCCCCTCTAAAGAATGTAGCAACCTCTTACACTGACAGAATATTTTAAAACAAGGTGTGCAAAGGTATTCAGTTACATATGCTTTGCATTTTCATTTATTTCCAGAGAGCTTTGCTTATTTTAAATAGAAGAACAGAAGTCTTGGTGGGTTCTCTACACTCTGTTCTTCTTAACACCAGCAGTTCATTATGTTATTTCTCCATTCGTAGTAAACAGGGACATAAGTTCTTCATTATCTTTAAAAGTTAAAGATAGGCAAGTCCTTAAACATTCTTAAAATTTGTTTTAAGAATACATCCTTTCAGCATAGCTTTAAAAAAAAAAAATCAAACCACAAATTCATTGAAAAGCATCAACTAAGTATTTGAAAAAGCACAACCACAGCTGAGAACATAAATACACTCTAGATCACTCCTTCAGGGTAAAGTTTCAAGGAACAGATGGACTTTACACCATTGCCTTGAGTTAAACAGGCTCAATCAGGTTTTGACACAGACCCACAGAAGGAAGCAAATTCCAAGTGCAAGAACCTCTGGTGAAAATACTCTGCTTCCCTCAGCCAGATGTTGAACCTGCAGGGTTGAATCCAAGAATACATCCATAGATTTTAGTTGCCATGAAAATGCAGAAGGAAGTTCTCAGACAATGACTCCATGAAAAGATCTTTAAAGATTCATAACAGTCTTATGATTTCTATAAAAAGTATCAAGAAAGCAAACACAGGTTTTGAAGAACAATTTTACTTCTACCACTTTCATCAGTAATTCAGTAATTCTGAATCAGCTCCTTTACATACACACGTGTGTGTGTTTGTGCACGTTTTGGATGTATATAAGTATATACAAATATATCTTAAAATATCAATATTTAGAGGTACTCACAGCATGAGCTATACAAAGAGTAGGAATTCTACACAAGAATTCTGACAATGACCATAGCAGAAATGCCAGATGACCTCACAAGAAAGGGATGTCAGAAAAATGCCTCCCAAGAGAACATGCTAACAGCAACTCAGAAACCAGAAGCATCTACTCCAGGTATATTTAGGGATAACAGCTTAATTTTTCTTTTTGAAAGATCAGAAAATGTTCATTGAAAATAATTTTGTAGGAGCCACACATCATAGTGCTGAAAACAGACAGCCATACTCTGAATGTTACATGTTACTTTTGTTTAAACACTCAGACAATAGTTTGAAACCTGTGAAGCCTCAGAACTGGAGACTTGTTCATACAATAAAACCCAACATGCTTCTCTCTCCTGTAAACAATAACAGTCTCACAAATGTACACACTCTATCCTGAAACATGTCAAGTCTGGTCCATCACTAAGTCATCACAATATAATCAGAATTTAAAATATGGAGAAATTAGAGACCAATGAATCATATTCACTGTTCCTGTAGGGAACCTTATGAGGCAGCATCTTTCCAAAACTGCTCAGACTCAAACTAGTTTTCATGTCACTTCAGTTGCCATTTCTTCTACCGGGAAATTACAAGCAGTTCTGTAGCTGCTATCTGGGCCCCAGCTTAATTGTAGGGAGAGAAACAGAAACAAACCACTAACTAAAGCATTTTGCTGACAACTCTGCTTCTCATGCAGCGATAATTTGAACCCTCAGTGCCTATCACTTGTGATACAGCTTTTTACAACACGATCATAGAGTATTTCTTCAAGGTACTTAACTTTTCAATGTATGTGAGAGACAAGAGATGGAGCACAGAACTGCAAAAAGACAGATGACAATCTTGCATTTAAGAAAATCTTAAACAGATTTTCAGTATAACAAGGAACAGAATTATCATAATGTATATGTACAACAAGACTACATTAAGGTTGGAACAGGAAACTTCTGGTGCTTAACTCCGCAACTTTAATATTCTTATTACTTCTCCACATAATTTTAAAAGTACTATTTAATCTGTCTTGCACTGCAGTTGCCTAAACTCCCAGGAATATCAACAGGCACTTTGCCATTGAAAGATGGCAGGCTAAACCTCAGCAAGAGAAATGTCACTATTAGAAAGTTGAAACGCATTAATGCCATTCTACATGAATATCCAATTCAATTACAAGAAAAATTTTATGAAACAAATATTAAAGCATTGGTGAAATATCACTACAGTAAAATTTTATTCTCTATCAATTATTCCTTTTTGAGTATTACCACCAACCACCTTTTATATTTTAATTTTTCCACTTTGAAGCACAAAGGACCCTTCTATTTTTTTTTTCTTTAAACACTTAAAATGAGTGTTTCACTCCTCATTCATTAGTTTATGATGAGCTTACAAATTACCTTCTAATTCTCACAATGCATTTTTAGGTTAACACACTGAAGATGCTCATTCAGTGTCATAAGTGCAACTTACTGGAAAACATAAAAGATGATTTCTCATACACTGGATCAATCTTCAAATACCCTCTTCATAAATTATCTGAAATTATCTTCACCTGACAATACTTATGTATGTTGTAAAAATGTGCTGTTTAATTAACTAGACATCTCTTTATCTCTACAAATTCTGATAAAATGAAATAATACTTTCATTGAAAACAAGCCAAATTAAAGATTAAAATAATTGTTTAATTCTTTTCATACTGATGCTGATTCTATTGTATGCAAAAAATGCAACTTTAAATTCTGAACTAACAGATGTTTTTCACAGAATTTTAAATAGCAGCAAACTGACAGAAGACAAATGCTTTTAAAAAAAAAAAAACAAATGAGAATGATTAAGCAGTGATAAAAGAACTCATAGTCTGAAGTAAATGAAAAAAACACTTTAGAAGACTTAACAAAATCAGAATTATACTAAAACCAAATGAATTCACAAGTGATTTATCACATTCACTGTTGTACCAGTATGCTCACACATTAGGTAAGAAAATACACAATATAACCTGAAAAATAAATTCTGCACTGACTATACCATTGCACAAATTCTGCAGAGGAAAATATTTTTGTGAATTTACAGCACTTTGTTTTTGTTTCATACTTTATTCTCCACCATTATTAGAAGATTAAAGGAGCATAAAATAGAACCAAAAATAGAAGAAGAAATATAAAGTAATAAAAAGTAAATAAAATTACAATGTTTGTTGGTATTTGCAGGTACATCCCCAAAAGGCAATCAACATCTATAAAAAACACATACACTTAAAAATTCATACACAGGAAAATTTTACAGGCCCTGATGCTCACATGCTAAGTTTTATTTACTAACCTAGTCCTTCAAACTAATTATATCAGTGGTAGTGCACAGGACTGAGGATATAATTAAGATCTTTCTAAAATGTGCCACCACAATATGGACATTCATAGACACTTAAATATTAATTATAACAGTGACAGGAAATTTTTGCACTGTTTAACATTGATCTCTATCCATGTTGCCTTCTTTGTTTATCAGATACCAATTAATCAGGGACAGAACAATCATACCCTATTATAATGTTATTTTTAAATTATTTTTTAA